AGATTGGAATCTGCACTATGCATTTGCTGCTGCAGAAATGCTTGAGAAGCTTTGACTGGAGTAATTTTGTTAGGAGTATTCCTGGTCTGCATCCCACAAAGCTGGATACAGCTGCTGCTCTGGCTCAAGCTGCATCAGGCTCAAAGGAAGAGGAAAATAATACAACAAGTAGTGCAAACTTCTTCCATGTGGTGTGGTGGCTCAGGTATGAGATCCTGATGCATCACTCTCATTTAAGTTGTCTCACTTTTCTGTTCCCATGGTGCAGAAAAACCTCAGTCTTGACCATTTTAAGGCATTAGCCAGGGTAACTGAAGATAAGTATTTTGAAGAGATGAACCTTTTTTGCTGATGTCTTTCTCTTCTTCTTAAATATGTATTTATGAAAAGTTAATTAAAGATTTTGGGTGTGGAGAAAAGGCATAGCGAGATGTGTGGGGATTGGGGGGATGATAGATGAGCAGTGCAACACGGCCACCTGCCTTGTCAAATAGCTATTGCTGTGTTTGCTGGGTGTCTGGGCATGCAAAACCAGCCAGGCAGAGTTCCCATGTTGTTCTGGATAAAACTGGGATGCCCTACGTTTAACCCATGCCTGGGATCTAGCTCTTCTGTTAACTCGAAATGATGGTCTTTCATTAGGCTTTACTGAAACTTGTGCTGTTCCTGCCGTTTTGTAGTATTTCTGTAGGACTTCTCTTTACCTTCTGTCAGAATTAGGAGTCCCTTGCCCTGCATGTAAATAGCTGTGTCCCATTCCATCCCAACTAATCACTGAGAGTGAGTTAATTTGCATCTCTATAGCTGCTTCTGGCTCTCGAGCTTGAAGTGGGTCATTGGGAGGACCCATGAATTTGTCTTGTTAAATCTGTTGTAGCCCTTTTTGTGTAGATTGGAACAAACCTTGGTTGTGGAAATGAAAAACAATCCATCCCGGTCCTGTCTTCAGGGATAGGGCAAGAGAGTGATCCACCAAACCAACCCCCATCAGGAAACTACTGCTCCTCCTCCTAAATGATAATTTTCTTCCCACTCCCCAAAAATGCCAAAGGAAAAATGGATCATTATTGCAATCATGGGAGAGTTTTGTGACAAAACCCTTGCAAAGAAAATGTTTGTCTCTAATTGTTTTGCATTTCCATAATGCTTAGTATGATACAACCATCTTCTTTTTCTCCTTTATTTTTCAATCATGATTAGGCTTTAATGTTATTAAAGCTTATAAGTGATTTTGAGCCACTGTCTTGTTGAAGAGAAGATGGAGCTGAAATTTTCAGTGAGGCATTGGACAGGGTTTTTAATGTGTCTGTCATTATATGTTAACCTCTGAACTGGGACACGACGTCTGTTTTATGGCTGACAACAATTTAAAAGTATACATCTTGACATGGTGGATAAAGGAAGAAGGGGGGGGTGGAGAAGAAAAAAAGAATTAATGATGTTAGCAAATATTAGTCCCTGTATTTCCATTTTGCTCTGAAAGTGGTTGTCAGGCTTTGAGGCTGCCTGGAGCAGCATTGCCAGTGACAGCCAGCCGGGATGCCATTGTCCCTTGGATCGAGCTGGGCTGTTATTGACAGAGCCAGTGCACTGAGGCAGGGACAGGGATGCTCCACTGTCTGTTCTGGAGGAGTGTGGCTTTTCTCCTGGCATTCCTGGTGACATTTGAGAAGAGTAGTTCTGGGCTTAGTGGAGCTCTCTGTGCCAGTCCCTGAGCCCATCTGGAGTCAGGGGGGTTGAAGGTGTCTCTTCAGGAGTACGTTTGCTGCATACTGAAGCCCAGATTTGCCTGTGATTTATGCTGGTTTTGGCCAGCCAGACCCACCCACCACAGCTAACTGTCACAGGAGCAGTGACTTTGACATCAGCCTTAATTGTGCACCAGCCACAAAGAATCAGTGGGCAAGGGGAAAACATGAGAAATTTCACTGTTTAAGGCATGTCTTACACTTCTCTATCATCTTTTCCCGTTTCTTACATGCCACTGCCTGAGCTTTGGCACACAAGTGCAATCCTCCAAGGTGTCTTCACAGGCTGTCACAAATTCCTCGTTATTCCCACAGTTTTAAACTGGCATGGAGCAATGTCCTCATGGAGTCCGCAGCAATTTTGCCATTCCTACAGCACCTCTCCTGCATGGTCCACCTGTGGATGCTACTGCTGTCATCTCCCTTGGGTTCAGGTTCCAGATTATGGAAGCCCTGGATCCTGCTATTCCTTATTATTAGTTACATGTGCCTCTGCAGTGCTTCTGGACAGTGCTGCCAGCAGTGAAAGAAATTGAGCTGGCTTAATTGAGAGCCACATAGTTAATTATTAGTGCCTTTTTAACGGAGGAGACAGGAAATTTGCAGTGTCAGTTTTTAATTTCATTGTGGTTTGTGGGAAAATGTGACTTTAAACTCATGAGTCATTACCTGCATATAAGTAGCCCTAAAAGCTCTCTTTTGCTGTAAAAATTTCAAAATATTTAAGAAAGAAAAGGGCATCTGTGTGCTATTGATCCCTTCAGGATGAGCAAGAAATAAAAACACCAGTTGTTGTCAGTGCTATCAGTAGCTGTGACGTGATTTGGAGGGAACTGCTGCTCCTTGCTCCACTTTTTGTGTCACCGAGTTTGGAACATCGTGCTCAGATATTGTACAGAAGTTCTGGCAGGCTGGGCTGCAAGGATTTTGGAAGTGGGAAATGGATAGGCAGGTTGTCAAAGTCAGCTGGAAAGAAACCAGTTTGTGCTGCAGCAGAGTTAACTGTTTTGGGAAGCTTGGACACATTCCCCTTTGAAAGCCCAGTGAGGATGAATGGTGGAGCCTTGTCTTTGTTTTCATGTCTAAATACTGAGAAAACAGAATATTTTCCTGCGCCTTCTTCATAAACTTGTTCTACATATCAAGGACTGTGATGGAATAAGCTTGCTTCAACATTCATAAATTGAATCTTGAATTACCTATTTCTGTGTGAAAGATATGAGATAAAAGCTATTTGGACAAAGTAACTTGTATATGGATTAAAAACCAGAAAATTTTTGCCTGAGTGTTTCTTTCCCAAGAAAGCCTTTATCACTAAGTTTCCTGATGACCTTATGTACTTAATCAATGTGATTAATCTTTGGTAGAAATGCATTCATTGTGCAAAGAAGGTGAGCTTAATCTTAGAAATCTTTTTTTTGTTTGTTTTCTTTGGGTTTTTTTTTTAAGAATTTCTGCGTCTAGAAAGATTAAATGTATTTTTTCAAATGTTTTTTCTGACTTGGGAAAAAAAGCAACAACCAAGAACTAGAGTGGCCGGAAATAAAATAATATAGATTTAAAATTTTGTGCAGTTTCTGACACTGATTGAATGCCCATCATCCCTCTGTGTCAAACAGGATAGACTAGTAGTGAGTATAGCTTCATTGTATAGGAATAACTCTTCTGTGCACTTTCAGGTGATCCGAAATTAATTTTATTTTATTAATGGAATCTAAGTAATTGATGGACAGTAAGGTTCCCTGCTAAATAATTTTTTAAGAGGGGCACTGCACTGTAAAGACTTTGAAGCCCTTTCCCTTGAAAAAGGAGAACTTCATGTCACTTTCTGCTCTAAATTAGAGAGAGCCTACTTGCCATGGAATGGTCTTCAAAGCCAATTTCCTTTCCATGTGTTTTTATCAAGTTTATCTGTGATATCTGCAAACCTAATGTTATGGCTTTGGGCTGGTACAGGAGAACTGAAAGATGGAACTGGTTGACTCAGGCTGGGCAGAATATGAAAGTGAATGTATTATAGGGAGCTAATATATTGATTTAAAACAAAAGCAACCTGAGGAGCAACAAATGTAAGTATGTTTTATTAAAAAGAAACCCCACAACATCTTTCTAGGTAGAATTTGGATGGGACAGCAATGCTTTTGGGTGTAATGAAGCTGATGAAGGGATGGAGCACCTCTGTTATGAGGAAAGGCTGAGAGAACTGGGATTGTTCAGTGGACAAGACAAGGCTTTGGGGTGATCTAATTGTGCCCTTCCAGTACCTGAAGGGAACCCACAAGAAAGATGCAGAAAGACTATTTACAATAGCTGGAGTGACAGGACAAGGGGAATTACTTCAAATTGAAAGAGAGTAGGCTGAGATTAGATATCATTAAAAAATTCTCCCCTCTGAGGGTGGGGAGGGCCTTACACAGGTTGCCCAGAGAAGCTGTGGCTGTCCCTGGATCCCTGGGAGTGTTCCAGGCCAGGCTGCATGGGGCTTGGAACAGCCTGGTCCAGTAAAAGGTGTCCCTTCTCATGACAGGAGAGTGAAACTAGATGATTTTCAAGGTCTCTTCTAACCCAAATCATTCTAGGTTTCTGTGGTTCTGTGTATTGCAGCTACAGAGAAGCTGCAAGAGGCTGGGAGTTTGCTGCTGATCTTTTTCACCCTAGGTGTGACACTCTGCCATCCCAGAAAGTCTCAGACCTGTTCACTGGCAGCAGCAAGTTGCAATAAATGGGCTGGTTTTGTAAGGAATTGCTGCTGCAAATTCCAAACCAGTTCTGGCTGCTTATCTGAAAACCAAAATACTTAATGCTATGGAAGTGTTGGGGTTTCTGGTTCCCTGCACCCCCTAATTGGGTCAGGCTTTCAGACAGCAGGCACTTACCCTGCTGAAAGTCTGGCATCAATGTAAAGTCAGGCAATTGAAGAGGCCAGGCTGCAGGATGGTTTTTTGAAAAGGTAGGCCTGGGGCTCCATATCGATCAATCATTATTCTAATTGTTCATTTCTATTATGGTGGGAATCATTCAGAATCCTAGAGTTCCTGGGAGTAAATCATTTGGAAATGCTGCCCATTATAAAATTTAATTTTAAATCTATATTAAATAGATTTATAAAGGCAAGCTTTGCAATCTAGTAACAGAATATTATGCTGCCTCACAGCGGCTCAGCTTTTGGGTCCTGAGGGGCCAGGGCTGGGAATGAGAGTTGGGAATATGGTGGGAGCCGGGATGCTGGACCAATCTTTCTTTTTCTTTCAGACACCAGAGAAGAGGGGGAAGGAAAGCAAAACTGTGTTTGGAGGCCCAGTCATCAGCTCATTATATCAAGAAGAAGAAATAATCAGGTGATTATCTGTACTGGAATTCAGATAAAAACTGTGTTTTTCTAATGTCTTTTTTTAAGTTTTTTTTTTTTAATATTGCACAAGTGTGGGGGCAACTACAACAGGATAATAAATGACAGGAAAGAACTTTTCAGGTCCATAATCATTTAAATCAATATCTGCCTGTATCATTGCCAGGTAGTAACCTTTCCCTAGCACAAGATGTGGGGGAAGGGTAAGGCTTCCCATTTTTCAGTTATATGGCTTAAAAAAAAAAAGGTAATATTGGATATTTTTAATAGAAAGCTATTCAGGCACTACCTTTTTCAAACAGTTATTTCTTTACCAATACATTCATTAGGGACTGTTCAGTGAAGGCTTTAGTGTTGGACAATGTTTGCCTTCAGGGACAGTTTGTGCCTTATATCAAATTAATTTTTTTCCAGGCTCTGCAGTTAGAAAAGCCAGCTCTGCATTTACTGAACTAGAGTGGCTGCTACTTAAAAGTGTCAAGGTACAAGTAATAAGTGACATTAGCTACTGAATAAGGACACCTGGATGATTTTCATTTGGTTTGGTTTTTTTTGCTGTTCCAGTCTACTAATCATGGGTATAATAAATATACCAATACCTAAATGATTTTGTGGAGGACATTTTAGTATCATATTTTTAGTTAAAATAAACAGTCAGAGAAGACTAAATTTTTGACAGTGTTTCCCATCATGTAGTCACTCATTTACGTGTGTATGATCCCGTTTTTTAATGAATGTCTTGCATCTTTTTACATCCAGGAAATGTAAACACTGATTTCTCAACATGCAGTCTCCAGCTGAGAACTTACCTAAAGAGTTAAAATTCTAGCACAGCATTTCTTTGACTTGTTGTCACAAACCAACCAACAGAAATGTTGATCAGGTGGCTCCAAACCCTTTGCAAAGGGCTCAGGTAGGAATGGAGACAGCTGTTGTGAGCAGGCAGGGTGGCAGCTGTGTGCCTTGGCAGTAATGCAGGCATTTCCCTGGGGATTGCAATCCACTGTGGAGTGGAGTGGAGGGGAATATTTGGCCAGGAATAGCTTCCTTCCCTTGCACGGAGAGCCAGCACATCTTTGACTTGCCCTGGCCCTTGAGTAGAGGTGGTCAGGTATGACCTTGGTTTAATACACTGAGGAATGGCACTGCTGCTGGCCACCAGCTCTTTTTTTGTCCCTGCTCCATCAGTGCAGGTCTCAGCCGATATCCTTGATCTCACAGTTTGTGGTCTAAATCCTGTTCAAGCTCTCCTTTTAGGGGTAGAGCAAATCCCTACGGTGCTGAAAGAGTCTTGGTTATACCAAGTGCTGCCTATGCCCTTTCTTGGGTTTGAAATACAGAATAATGTACAGAAAAACAGAGTTTGCACTGGTTGACTTGACCAGCCTAAATCTTTTCATGTGTTCGTTCTTATTTCCAAGAGTACAGCTGCAAATACATTTTTCCAAACATACCATGAGGAACATAGGTGCTGTTTGTTTAGCACAGCACAGCTGTCCTTGCAAATGAGGCTTTAGGCAGGTGCAGACTCCCACACATCTGGAATAGGGTGGTTCTGCTGAAATTTGTTGAAGTGTCCTGACTGTGCTGGCAGAGTGGAAACTCATGTAGTCTGTCAGCTCAATTTGACTGCCAGGCATCAGTGTCTTCCTTGCACCACAGGAATGAGCAAGTGTCACCATCATCTATCCACAGAGCTGGACAGCTTCACATTTCCTGGTTCTTTTGTTTACTGTTCATTCTCTTCCTGGAACAGGGAATAAACATGCAAGTATAGGCACAACTCTAGTGTGATAATTCCACTCATAAAAGCATAGCCTTAAACAGCAAAATTGCTCTGGTACCAAACCTGCAAGCAGATAAACCAAAGAGGTTTTGTGTCCAGGTTTGTCTAGAGCAGGTATTGGTTCCATAGCTGTACCTGAGGAGGGTGACTTTTGTGAGGCTGTGAGTGGTTACTTAGAAAAACATAAGCTTAGCATTTAGTAATACTTCATAAAACAGAATGTTATCATTAAAAAAATAAGGCATTTTCTGTAGAGGAAGAAGATGAAACATTTTAAGGGGAAAGAAAACTGATTAGTTTGATCCAAGACAAACTTTAACACATTGATAGCTCTGGGTAAATCCAGTATTGTCAGTTCAGTGGGTATGTGTGTGCTCCCTCAAAACCTCCTGTCTGAGAAAATAAACTTTGGTGCAGTCTCTTTTATTGACAAATTTAAATAGAAATCAAACCACTTCAGTTTTATTCCCAGAGCTGTTAATAAAATTAACTATTTTCTTGTTAGAGGATCACTAAAGAAGCCCAGAATAACTAAGAAAACCCCCTTGTTTTGTGTACTAAAAGCTAAAACTCAACTCCTGATCAGCCCTGAGTTCTGACAGACTGCTAGAAGCAATTTCTCAGCAGGTATTACTCTGCCAAACACAGCCTACCATGTGCCCTTTAGGATTCTGCTGATCCAAAGGCAGGAAAAGGCTGTTGATTTATCTGGAGCCACGACCTCCGCATGCACCAGGAGAGAGACAAGAATGCAGGTGCAGAGAGTTTTGAAGGGTCACCTAAGCAGGTTCACTTGTTTTATTCTTTACCAGAACATTCTGATCAGTTTATCAAACAATTAAAGCCCTCCAAGCTGTTGCTGTGTAATATGAAGTGGAAAGAAATAGAATAGAATGTTTTAAATAGAATATATTTTAAATAGAATAAACCCCTAGTTTGCCATCAGCAGTACTTCGCCACAAAGCAGCAGTGCCATTGATTTCAAATGAGTGTCTAAAATGATTCCTAAATAACACATTCCTTTTATGGAATGAAATGCTTGGGGTTTAGGATGCAGATCTAAATGATGGACAGAGTGAAGTTTACCATACCCTGTCCTAAAGTGGATCAGCAGTAGGAGGAACTCCAGTGGTGCCAGGGCCACTTTTTCCTTATCACTAATTATCTCAAATGTTTCTAATTGAGAACAAGATAGAAAAATGGTCAGTCTGGCTCACAGTACATTGCACTGATTCCAAATAAATTCAAGACCATCCACAGAAACAGGTTATACCGATCTAATTGAATCAATTTAGAGAGAGATTCGGGTAAATCAGTGCAATTTGTGTGTTCATAGATCAGCCCTCAAATCAGGAGAAGGTCTCTTGAGCTAATGAGGCTTAGCAGTTATTTACTTTGGGGTACTGGGCACTGGTCATCAATTAGGAGTCATTAATAAACCCTGGCAATAAAGAGCTCAAGTACCCCCAGTGAGTAATGGGGAGCAGTTGCAGGATGTATTAGCATAGTGCTCTGCCTCTGGGTTTCTCTGCAAATCACTTATCTCCCCTCAGGCATTGCATAAAACTCCTGGATGCTGGTGACTGATGATGGGACTTGGAGGTTCCCTTGGAAGGAAAAATTTAGAAATTATCAGTGATTTCAGGCTGGGTATAGTGGTGGTTTGGGTTTTTTTACTGCTATGTAAAGCTTTATGTCCCTTTTCTGGTTTTATTACCAGAACAAAGCAGTAGTAGTGGAGCTCTTTCATGGTCAAAGCACTCTAATTGGAATTTCACAAACCTGGGAAATGACCAGTGATCTGAGGTTGACTCATGTGTTACCAGTATAAATCTCATCCAAGACACAATCTGAGAGATACGCCAAAAATACCACAGCCTTGGAAATCCAGCTTTATTTTTCAGTATTTTTTTTTAGCCGGGGCAAGGAGTAGACAGTTTGTAAGTGTTTTCAGGAAACAAACACATTGATTTGGCAGGTGGAGAATGAGGAATAACATTGCCAAATGTCCGTGTCCCTTTCCACTTCCACTGGAGGAGCCCTCCTGCACTCTGCCATGAGCTGCTTCCTGAGGGCTTTGGCATGCCAGGATGGGAATGACATCTGCCAGTCAGCACAGAGGCCTCCTTGAGCTGTGTTTTACTTCTTCCATCCAGAGGGATGCTGAAGAAGCTCTTTTTGGTCAAAATACCACTCTTCCCCAGACATTTGGGAGCAACCCCAATCACGAGTGGGGCAACCATTTAGGACGTGGGTGCGGAGCGGGCACCCCTGGTGTGCAGGACCTGCCTGATGCTGTGCAATCTATCAGAATTGTATTAATCCCACTAACGCAGCCACCATCTGGTCCCGCTGCCGGGCCGGCTCGTGTGAGCCCCCGTGATGGATGGCCTTGGGAATTGATTAGTTGTTGTGCGAGACAAATGAACTATTTTGGCAGAAAATACCAGAGGTCGCTGCATGTGGTCAGGCACAAAGGCTGCTGAATTTTAAAGAGCTGCTTCCAGCATCCGTTGCAAGGATGCTGCTTCAGAGCAGCGATGGCTTTTGGGATGAGCCCAGTGCTCCAGTGCACGGTTGGGGTTTTGTTCTCTCCCTCCAGTCCTACTTTTGGGAGCACCAGCGCTGGAAATGAATGTAAAGCTGCAGAGATATGTGGCATCTGTGTTGGGAGTTATGGGCTGGTGGTGTGTGTGGGTGGCTGTGCCACAGATGTGTCACTGATAGCTGTGCAATCCCTGTGGAAGAGCTTTCCTGGTTCTGTGGATCAAGCAAAACACCTGTGGGTTCTGGCAGATGGGACTTGGGGTTTTTCAGGTCAGTGTTGCTTAGAAAGGGTTGCTGTCGTGGTGATGTTCAGCGGACCAATCTTTTGACTTCAAGATGATTGCCAAGTTTATTGCTTCCCCCCTTTTTACTGTCCCTGGAGCAATGACCTTTGGAGCTTTGCTTTGTTGTGCAAAGGGCTCAGGCCTGCCTTCCCCTTGGAGAGCACATCCTTCTGTGGTGGTCCCACTCGGCGTTTTCCCGGCTGCCGCCTCTGCGGTTCCACACCGAAGCGCGTGCGGTGGGTGGGGAATTGGATGACACATGTCCCGCCATGTCCCAGCGGCTCTCGGAGGGATGGCACATGAGTGTGCCAGCAAGTGGGCAACACTTCCCTCGGGATGGCCTGCCGGCTCAAAATAAACTTGAGTTATGGATTTATTCAACTTGTAAAACCTCAGCTGGCATAAATAATTGAGAAAGCAAAGGTTTGTCTGTGGAGCGTACCTCAGGGACTTGCTCCTGCCTCCCTCCCTCCCACCACCCTTTCTTATGAAAATGATCCCAGTTGCACTGATAGATAATAACAACACCAAGCAATTAAAAGCTATGGGTGGCTGGAGAGAGGAGAAAAGGTTCAGTTAATGAGCTTTTCCTCTTCCTGTGCCCAGGAGAGCCTCCGAAGTGACGAGGCGATTAAAGCGAAGAGATAATTATAGATTATGTGAAAATGGGTCCCTTGGGGGGCCGAGGGCCTTGACATAAACAGCGAGTGTTGAGTGCCTCTCGCTCCCCGCGCACGTCCCGTTCCGCTCCGCCGCCGTGCCGCTCCTTCGGCAGCGCCGTGCCAAGCACACGGGTGAAGCCACCTGTTAGCGGCACCCGGGGCCACTCCACAGCAAATCCACTGGGATGTGCCTTGGACCAGCCCCAGGAAAACAGGAGAGGATGCCCAGAGTAGAACCTGGTCTCAGTCCTCTGCCCTGAGCCTTGCGCTGGAGGTAACTTGTGAACGGGGAGGAAGGGGACTGGGCAAACCTGGAGGGTGTTCTCTGCACATGGGTAAAATAATGGGAATTTCAAATCTCTTCTATGCCCTTTTCAGTGGCAGCCTTGGTGCTCTTTGGAAAGCAAGGAGTTTTACAGCACTCCAGATAAGAAGGAAGTGATCAACTGGCAGCAGATCTTTTCCATGAGCTGTTTCAAACCTGTTGGCTCAACACATGTGTTTTGGACAGCCTATGGAGAAAGCTTGCAAAGCCTTCTAAGCCTGGGGAGAGATAACTTGGTTTAAGTTCTTCCAAATCCTTTTATTCAAGGATGGAAAATGTGTTATTTGCAGGCAACAGGTATGCTTCAACTCATCTTTAAATCAGAATTACTGTCTCTTACTGGGATGGGGAAGAGCACAAGGAAATAGCTTTGGGGGCCATCAGCAAGGGAGAAGAAAAACCCTCTGGCCATCCTCAGGAAACAGATATAAAAGCTCTACCTGCCTTTACTGACAGTCATGTGCTTGCTGACTTCAAGGCTTCTTTTAATCTCAGCACTTTGACATGGAAAAAAATTGCATGCAAATCTTCCTTTTAGCTACAGGTTTTGCATCATTGTACACATCTCCATTAGGCTGAGTTTCATGGTGTTTCTCATCTGAAGAAGTCCTGAATACTGTATTTTTTATGTAAATTGAGATTTTTCTAAAAATACTGATGGAAATGCTGTGGGTTCTCTCCCCCATAACATGATCTAAGCATATTTTTGCATTGGCACTTCTGTATTTCTCACATGTTTGTTTGATTTTTGCCTGTTTCTGCCACTTTCTGGGCCTTGCTGCTGACTCCTACCAGTTTTATGAAGAGTACAACTTCCTGCTAGGAGCAGGCTGATAAAATCATTGCATCATTTTTCTTTTCCTCTTCCTGCTACAGTGGAGGAGGTATTATGATATACACATACACATAAAGAAAGGGAAAAAAACGAGTTGCCAAGTTTTCAAGCTCTGTTTCTTATTTGTACTGTGTGGTTTTCAATGCAAAGTCAGCACATAACAGTAACTTATTGTTATTCCATTCACACCATTCAAGAAGAATGTCTTCCCTAGTATTGGTCCCTCAAAAAATCTGGGTTTAACTCCTCTAAGCTCTTTCCTCAGTTTCCCTTCTTGGTTTTAGCTGGATCAGATTGTTTTAAATGTCTGGAGTGCAGCTTCATATGATTACTTCATTTGTAGGTAAAATGTTCTCATTGTGACCAGAAAGGGCTTGTTTCTCTTAATTAATATTTATAGAAAATTTGGATATAATATATGTTTAATTTTTTTCAGGAGGGCATCAGGAGCAAAGGAATGGTTTAAAGATTGAGAAATAAATGCAGAGTAGAAGAACAAAATTTCCCGAAACCTTATCTTCAGGTGGGGAAATTAGTATTCTGGATTAATTCCATTGTGGAGATTTCTGAAAGAAAAGTGGTTTTTTGGAATGGCAATATATAGAGTTGGTTATTCCAGAAAACTAAATCATATCCAAATAGCTGTGTCAGGTCATTTTCCCCTTACAGACAATAATATCCTCAGGAAAGACTTTAAAAGTCCTGTCTGGAGGCTGTGGTGGGAAAATGGGCTGGTTGTGGTAGGTCAGGGTTGCTGTTCCCTCTCTGCTGGCACAGACCCTACACGTACTCCCTGTGGAGCACAGTCAGGTGCTTTATGGCTGCCACATCCCTGCTGGTACCTCTGGTGCTGCCCTGTGAGCTCTGCCAGGGCTCTCCAGCAGGTGGAATAACCAGGTGGCATCACTGCCAGGGAGGGAAGGGCACAGCCCGAGCTCGTGGTTGTGTCATGGAAAATCACCCAGGAGTAGCTGGGGATGGTTGTGGGCCTCTCTAGTGAGAAGGAACTGGGGTTTGCTGTGGTGTTATGGAAGAAAGAGTGGTCTGTAATAAATGAGGGAGGTGTGGCTGTGCAGTGGGGAACCAAATTCCTGTACAGCGTTGTTTGAAAAGCAGCTTCTCCCAAAAGGCTGCTGTCAGCAGCCAGGGCTGCGCTGGAGAGGTTGGACTAACAAGGTAGGACTGGAGGGACTTCCCAGCATATCACATCAGCCCTTGTTAGCAAGGGCAGGCATGTCTTGTGACCTCCATCATGAGTCTGTCAAGCTCCATCTCGAGCAGTATAAGCTTTTGCCTTTTCTAATCCTGCTGTGAGATTCTTTTTTTCCCTGGAATTCAAGGTAGTTGCATTTAAAGAATTCAGTGATCTGTTTCCCAGGAGCTTATGTGTAACGAGTGGGCAAGACCTCCAACAAATGAGTTCACGACAAACTGGTCAAGAAACGGGGAGCCTCCTGTAATGTCCTTAGGCCTAAACACAGAGTGTGGAATCCTCTGTGGCTCCCAGCTCTTCACTAGAAAGGTGCAGCCCAGGTGTCTCTGCAGGGACTGCCTGTGTACAAAGAGTACTGGTGATGTGCTGGAGAGCAATGCTACTGAGGGAGCAAGGTGAGAGGGAGAGCAGAGGAAGTAAATTCTTTGGAGAAAGCAGTGATCTGCCACTGGAGCAAGTATCAGTGCTTTTTCCCACCTTTTTCTGGCACCATGGCAAGACACAGATGCTTGAGGCCTGAAGAATCAGGCTGTAACTCAGCAAGCCAGATGTGTAACAATAAAAAACAAAGTCAAAGTTGGGTCATGGTGCTCTGCAGAGGACATGGCCTTGCTGGCATTTCGTTTTTGGGGGACTGTAGGTTGAAGATGGTCACTTTGTGTCTGTAACCCATTGCTCAGAAATGCAAATGTTACCTAGATTTTACTTTTCCTTCCTGGCGTTCTTCAGCCTGCAAGTTAAAGAGCAATGCAGATGAACAGAAATGCTGTTGATTTTTAGCAGCAGGGGATCAGTCCTCAAATTTCCCTGTTGAATTTCTCCTGCCCACAGCAGACTGACCCCTTACTGGGTCTGACCAAGTCCAGCAAGCTTCCTTTTCTCTGAGTAACTGAGGCTGTCAGTCTGAGTTCTGCTGAGCATCCATAAGCTCTTTAGTTAAGGTGATTGAAAACTGGGGATGTCATGTGAGGCAACAGCTCTGTGTTTAACTCTTGTGAAGCTGCCAAGTCCCATAGCAATGCTGATGGGCTAATTTGAACCATGGTTTTCATCTAGAAACTAGAAAGAGAGAGGATTATATGGGCTTTTTGGCTTGCTTCTGGAAAACCAATGGCCTTTTTTCTTTATTCCCTGCTAGCAGCACGGTGGTATCACTGTAGTTAGGCCTAAAGGTATTATTCTTGTAAGAATCTGCGAAGGGTCTTAAATTCATTAGAGGTGCTGTTTGTTTGGCAGGTAAGGATGGAAGTCTTACTGTGTCTGAAGCCAGAGTACAGATGTAAGAGGAGCTGTAGGTATAACTCAAGCACCTGTGACACCATCATTTGATCTTTCTTCCTGCAAGCAGTTCTAAGCAAGCCCTTACTGGTGTTGTATCCAGGATCCAACGTGTGTTTAGGAACAGATTGTTTTGAAGGTCTCCTGTTGGTCTTCCTGTTTTCTCCAAGCCACGTGAGTGGCCTCTGTCCAGGGTGGATGGCATTGGATGGGACTTTGTTGTGTCCTAGAGTGGCTCTTAGAAGAACAGCAGCTTCAGCCTTTTATCTTCTTTGGGATTGCAGTCATTTATACCAAAACTTGAACATGGATTTTTCTGGCTAACTTCATACGTTTCTTGTGCCATCTCACAGGAATAAACTGACACTTGTCTGGGCATAATACTATTAAAAACAACCTTTGTTTTTCTAGGAAGCAGGATCTTCTGTTTCTTAAATTGAGGGAGGTGGGGAAAAAGTTCATTATTCTGCACGTGCAATACTAGATGCCTGTTTTGATCCAATGACAGCACTGAAATGTCTGTAACAAGGTTAGAGCATATAATGTGTGTGTGGCCTTTGTGTTGTGTAGTAATATGGTGCCTCTTTTGCTTTTGTTTCCTGAATAGGGAAGAGGACAAGAACATTTTTGATTACTGCAGAGAAAACAACATTGACTATGTAACCAAAGCCATTCAATCAAAAAAAGTGGATGTGAATGTCACAGATGAGGAGGTATGGAGAAAAGATAAGGACCATCAATCTTTTATCTGTTTTGTGTATTAATTCACTGCTACTCCTTTTTAAAATTCCATGGATGGAATTGTAACAAGGTACTGCAACAGTTGGACAAATACTTGGTCGTTGAGACAGGGTAATCTATTTGGAAACAACTTTCCACTGGATTTCTGTTAGTGTGGATGTCTAACTGTGGGGCTGTAGCATGTCAGATCACAAACTTAGTTTCCATGTTATTTTCAGCAATACCAGCAGCCACTGGTATTGAGTGTAAGAGTAAGATCATCTGAATACCTGATCTTAAGAGTAAGATCTTCTGAATACCTCCCTTTCCCCACTTTATACACTAAGTGTGGTTGAACAGAAGTAGGAAGTGAGTGAAACAGCTTTTTTGACCTATGAACCTTCAGGTTGAAGGAGAATTTCTCACATGCCACAAGTTTTCATCATTCTCAGACAGAGGGGAAATGAGTGACACTGTCTTTCCAGCTTCCCGAAAACAGTGACATTGTCCAGTTTTTCTCTACTTACCAAACTCAAAACACCAATCCACCACAGGGAGGTAATACAGGTATTGCTAGAAACCCCAAGAAAAAAACAGTCTAAAAAAGGATGAATTGGCTTCATCCTTTTTTTTTGTAAGAGTACGCACCTGGTGGGGGCAGTTTCCTGTTGAACCTTCAGGAGTTGTGGCCGTACCAGGTTTGTCACCTTGGTTTCCCTGCTTGCACACTGCCACCTAGCCCTGTCCCTGGTCCAGCCTGAGCACAGCTCCTTCCAGCACGTTGTGTTTTGGTGAACAGATGAAGTGCTTAGACATTCATAGACTGAGACGCCACAAATTCAGTTGGGTTCTCCTGTAGCTCTAAGCAGATTTCTGCCCTCTGAGCCATGACAGCCCCGGCTGGGGCTCTGAATGCTGATGGCAGGGCCTTTTATTATTAATCAGGAGTTCATGTGAATTAATTTTCAGAGGAGAGGAGGGAGGATGTTCACAATCAGGATTGGAATTTCACATCATAAATTCAATGAACTGAAACTGTCATGTGCCATACAGTCACTGCAACAGCACTGTTCCTGAGCTCCATCCTCCTCCTGCTGATCACAGGTTACAGGAGGAGATGTCCAGGGCAGTCCCACAGAAAATGCAGCTGGAGTCTGTTAATTAATAAAAGCTCATTTTTAGGATCACATGCTTGCAATAAGTGCATGTTAGCATTGCTTTGTTTCCACTGGCAAGATACTCTTTGTAATTAGCAGCATTTAGAAGCTTGGTTTTTCCTTTCTGTTCAAGTAATGTGTTTGCTCTGTTCAAATATGCTTGTTTTCAGCCAAAGAAATACTGTTTCAAAAAATATTTTGTGGAAGCTGAAGTATGTAAACTATTTAAAAAACTACCAGATTACATCCTCTTTGAGAGTGATCCATGAGTCCCTGATGTAAAAAAAAAAGTCCTGTTTCTAACTGCTGGATATTAGCAGATTACTATTGCAGAGTATGGGATTGATTCAGCACAGGCAGGAGCCAAAAAATCTGCCTACCTGTGAAGGACTTGTGAGAGGATTCAACAATTTTGGTTTACCCCAACAAATGCTCAGAAACCCCCCCAAAAAAAAAGCGTATCAAAAGGAAGAATCTGAAATAAATAGTTGTTTCATTATATATTATGGAACTGAAAACATTGCCGGTCTTCTTTGGTATCCAAACATGTTCTTCCCAGTCTGGGAAGTAACTTCTTTTCCGATGTCATGCAGGTTGATTGAAGTTTTAAAACCCATTTTAGACTCGAGATGACCCAGACTGAGCCTTTTGTGAAATGTACACAAGCACAATCTTGTCATTTTTATTAACTATTTAAGTGTTACTGTGTAAATACATCCTGCCAAATCCAAAAGCTGCCTCACCTGGCTTCTGGAGATAATTCACACTATCAATCCTTTGATTCAAATACCCATAAATTGAAAATGCCAGCAGGGTACATACAAAGAGTTAATTTCTTATGAAACAAAATCTACTGAAGCAACAAATAGGCTCATGCTAAGCTGCAAAGACACTCAGCTCAGTCTTTTCTTAAACAATAAAGACTTGGCTGGGGTTGTAGGGTGTTTAGATTGTATTTTTCTGTGATATGACAGTACTCCATCTAATTGTATCCCCCATGTTGTGCAAACCTGGAAGAAGTCTGTGAAAGGAAAAAGGAAATCAAGAATAAAAACGTAAAGTGTGGATAAGCCAACTTAGTCAAAATAAAAGCATTTCAGAAAGGGCAGGAGAAGATCCTGGGGTTTAGATAGATGCACTGGGAAACTTCCACAACTTCCTTCTCCCCAGAAGAAGTAAAGCTCTTCATGTGCAGCATTCAAGCCAGCATACTGCTAACAGTTTGGATATGATAAACTTCAATTTAGAATTAAACAAATAACCTAATGACAGTAATCATGTACAAGCCTCCATTTACTGTACCTAGGGTTCAACAGAGTTGAACAGAATCACTTGCACTCACTTATAAGAAGTAGCACAGACTAAAACAACCTGTTTTCCTTGTGTATGTCAGCAGGACTAATGGAATAAGAAATGGACTGTGGCTGTGAAGTCACCCTAGGCACATCCTGGGAGTGTGGCTCACTTGCTGCCTTTTTGAAAATAGTATTTCTTCACCTTCTAACAAACCAGCAGCTGCTCAAAGGCAGAGATGAGTTGCTTTTGTAATTTGTGCCGAGGTCTGTGGAGGTTGTAGCTAGATAATTTTTTGTAATTGTTGGATAAATCACAGTAAACAAACATGTTACCTGTGTGCAGTGTTTAAGCCCTTGCCAAAAACTTTAATGAAAGGCATCTGACAGGATGCTCACTTAGTCTCTGATCCTTGTGCTTTTGAGGCAGCAAGTGCCAAACTGGTGCCAGCCTGCCAAGGAAAGGACAGGTGGGAAATATATTTGAAGAAGGGTCACATACTTCTGGATTTATAGGCTTTCTCCCAACTGTTTGGCTTCACCAAACATTTCAGAACTCTGAAAGTGATTGACTTCCAAGTCAAGTTTACCTGTGTAATTGTAACAGCAACCCTTCCATTCACTGTTTCTGCTGTCACAGGGGGATGCAGCCATTCTGTAGATATCTGTCTTTTCTTAATTACTGCTCAAAGAGCACTTGCCACAAGGTAGAGTGGCTCATTGCTACCCAGCCATTATAGCTGCAAACAACGTGCCTGGAAGTGTAGTTTTATACTGTAGCACATCCATTCGGTTTGGCTTTGTTCTCCCCTTTCTCTGCTCAGGCTAATTGATGTGAAAATCATTCCCATCCATTTGTCTGCCGACTCAGTGTATGGGAGACAAATCCCTGTCCTGTGCTTTGTTTGTGAACACCCTGTGACTTGGAGCTGAGCAGAATTGATGTGCTGTTGGCTTGAGAAACTGCTGCAGGAGCTGGCCAAGCTGGCAGCGGTTAGCCAAGCAAAGCACAGAAGATTTAAGAGGCAGGGTTAGTGCACTGGGGCTATTTTTATGCTTTTTTTTTTTTTTTAATACTTCAGGGGGCGGGGGGGGGGGGGTGGAATGCATCCTCTCAAGTGAGTTCTGCAACAACTGTTGTGTTTGAATTGCAGGGAGGGAGTACCTTGATGTTTGACTGCATCTAGCCAAGACCTCACTGCTGCAGCACTTTCCTACGTGGAATTATTCGTGTTGCTTTGAGTCTCTCACTGCTTAATGAAATAGTCATGTGGGAATTGTTATGGGAAAGCTCAATCTGTAGCCCTTAAGATTTCTGCCACATTATTTAAATACACAAACACATGCTGTTTGCTGATACAAAGCAACAGCTGGGCAGACTGAAGAGTTTTTCAGTGTGCAGAGGTGATATCCCTGCTAAACAAAGACTGGGACTGTATGTTCCATTTAAGCTTGACTTATCACTAAAGTTTATTTTAAGAAAGACATGGGAAACAAGTGGATTTTGTAGCTGTATAGCTGCCTAAATATGTTAGCTAAAGCTGTTGACTGTTATTCTGATTTTCTACAAATAGTTGTGAATATTATCTAGTTTCCATAGAGCCATTAAGGTTGAAAAAGACCTCTAAGATCATCAAGTCCAACCATTTTAAATACCAAATTTGTAGTAATGCTTTTTGTTATGCAATAAGTGGGTTGAGATTCTTCTGGAGGTGTTTTTCCTTCTACATCTCCTGTTGTGCTCTTGCACAGGTGGTCTCCAAAGCCCCTTGCACCCCGTGTCGAGGGCGTAGCATGCTGCAGACATTGCTTGGGTGGAATGTGTCAGCTGTTTAATAGTGCACAATTACAATGCAGAGCCATTTAAGGCACTAATTAGAAAATATTGTATCCATTTAGAGTTGTGGAGAAAATATATAGGTAAGCAGAGTGTAATTACCCAAAGTGGAATTGGCCCAAGACTCAAAATCCATACTCCTGCAAATAGCACAAGGAGATCTTTAATGACTGTGGATGATCAGGCTCAGGGTTTTGTCTTGTTCAGTAGGCACCATGTGTAGCAGAACCAGCCTGCCAGTGTCATGGGCAGGACCAGTTGCACAGTGCTCTGGTACCCCTGAGCTCTCACAACTAACTGTTGGTTTTCCTTTATTGGTCTCAGACAAGTACAGCACCAATAAAATAAGATTCTCCTTGTCCAGAAACCAATGCAAGCCCCTAACCTGTAGCATGGATTTTGATATAAAGGATAGAATGCCTTTATTTTATCATATAATTGTACAATAAATACATTTGAATAACTGTGATATTATTCCTCTACACATATATCAAGACACTGAAATAGTCTGTTGAAGTATTTCTTGCTGTTGTGCATATTTCAGATGTGCCTCTTCATTTTGAGATAAACCTCTATGGCTTGAACAAAGTTGTTATTTGTCCAACTGAAATCCTAAGTCTTAAGTAATTACTAGTCCAAAGATGAGTTAAGGATACTAAACATGAATTAAAGATCTCTCCATATTTACTAATTGTTTTAAGTTGTACTTTTTCCCCGTTGTAGACTTTGATAGGGGTGTTGAATGCAAGAATATGAATCATTAAATGGCCTGTGGATGTCATCAGTGCTTCCTTAGAAAGTCTCTGTCAGAAAATTCATTCCAATTCAATGTTAATCAGTGTAACATTAAAATTACATGTTACAAATTAATTAGTCACTGGGTCAAAAGTGGGAATTTCCTGATTTAAAATCGTGCTCTACCTCTGCTGGCCTGCCCAGAAATATCCAGCAGAAGCAGTGTGAGCTTTGGTCACAGGTGTCTTCTGCCCCTCCTGCTTTCTGGCACTGTGGCCAGGAAATTTGGCTCACAGTTCCCATTAGCAGATAAATGAGTGGCTCACCTTGTTCTCCACTGCTTTGTCAAGAGATTTATAGCTAGGCATGGGCTAATTTAAATTATTTCTTTTGTGAGGGTCTGTGACTGTTTTCCTTGGCATATTGAAAAACACAGGTCAGTCTGATGGTGTCACAGCTTGAGGAAGGTGATTCCTGGTCATCTGCAGGGTGATTTCCAAGAAATCCCTTACAAGTGTGCTGTGTGCTGTCCTAAAGCAGGAGAAGCTGGTAGAACATTAAGGCTAATTTGCAAAGTGGACATAGAAGGTTTTCTTCTTTGTTTGCCATCTCAAACTACTTTGAGTTACCTTTCTCAGGGATCCTAAGCTACCTCCCATGCCCTTGGACGTGCAGGAAGATCTGAACTTCCATTACATCCATCCCATGGTGGCAGACACCTGTAGAAAGGGGATGGGAAGCAAACTCTGAAGGTTTGGGAGGTGCTGGAGGTATGGATGCAGCAGCCTGCCCAAAACAGTACAGTCAGGGGTGCCTGCCCAGACATCCAGTTTTAATCTTCTCTTCCAGCAGAGGCAGGACCCATGGCTTGAGTGCTTCAGACCTGCCAGAGGAATGAGCTTTTGGGGACTTGGCATCCAGGTGACTTAGACAGCACTGAATATCCTACCCTTGCTGTGTAAGTCATTGCTCCCAGAAAAGTCAGAGGTGCCAAACTCCTAAATCTATACAGGAAAACAAAAAATGTGCTGGCTCCTGCGTTTCATACTTCACTGCTTTTCCCCTCTAAATTTTTAGCTGGATGTGGGTGTGGTGCTAAATTAATGAAAAATTGAACAATGTGTCACTTTTGACATTCCAGCGTTATTGTGGAAGTCCAAATCACCAGTAATAGTAAGTGACATACTAGTATTATTTTGTAATTTTTTTTAAGTCTGTGTTAATTTTGGTATTGGTGCTTATTACTTAATGGTACTTACTGATTTCCCATGGGATTTTTTTTTTTTTTTTGCTTGGCTTTGTTAATTTTTTCCTGGCTGTTTCAGGGCCGGGCTCTGCTCCACTGGGCGTGTGACAGAGGACACAAGGAGCTGGTTTCAGTGCTGTTACAGAACGCTGCTGACGTGAACATCCAGGTAAGAGGGAACACAGAGGTAAATTGGATTGATGTGTTACACAGCCTCCTGACCAAATGTTTCCATGAAACGGAATTCTTCTCAAACTCCACAGCAAGTTCTCTCAGGGTATTTATCACAGAAAAGCTGCTCCATTCTGGTGAGACCCCACCTGCAGTGCTGTATACAGCTCTGGGGCCCCAGCACAGGAAGAACATGAACCTGTTGGAGCAAGTCCAGAGGAGGCCACAAAGTTGATTAGAGGGATGGAGCACCTCTCCTATGAGGCTGAGAGAATTGGGATTGTCCAGCTTGGAAAAGGGAAGGCTTCAGGGTGATCTAATTGCAGCCTTCCAGTACCTACAAGAAAGACAGAGAGAGACTTTACAAGATCATGGAGTGACAGAACAAGGGGAAACGACTTAAACTGAAAGAGATTAGGTTTAGATTAGATATTAGGAAAAAAAAAATCTTCCCTGTGAGGGTGGGGAGGCCCTAGCACAGGTTGCCCAGAGAAGCTGTGGCTTCCCCCTTCCTGGAAGTGTTCAAGGCCAATTTGGACAGAGCTTGGAGGAGCCTGATCTAGTGGAAGGTGTTACTGCCCATAGCAGAGGCTTGGAACTAGATATCTAATGTCCTTTTCAACCCAAACCATTCTGGGATTCTCTTATAAGAACATACAAAAAAGGTCACCTGAGAAAAATGACAGGATTTTGAGCCACTGAGGTTTGCAGCCCACATGGCTTAGCTAGCACCAGTTTAGGCTATCTGAATAGACCAGGTTTTGACCTAAACTGGTTCAGCAACCACTTTGCTAGTAGTTTCTTCCAGCCAACCGGTCTGCCTGTGCTTCTGAGTCAACACTCCCAGTTCTGCCAGCTTGTTGTAATTAAGGGCTGGCCTGTGTAAGTGTGATTGTATTCAGATATAATTGTCCAAAATATTTCTGTCAGATTATGATTGACTATCATGGTACTTTTTGGCTCCTCTCCCCTTCCCCGTTTGGACATCAATACACCTTTGCTGATGAATCTTTGAGCTCAGATCTTGGTGAGATCTAAGCAGCCTCCAGTAAATTCCTGGGTAATTTGTAAGCGGTGGATGTGAAGCAGAGCTGCAGTCTGAAGGGTTGTGGGCAGAGCTGTAGTGTTCACAAGCTACAGATAGCTGTGTTGGTATTTATACACACATCCAATTGTGGTAAAAAAGTCTGTCTTCCTGGGCAGAATTTCTGGTGGGATGGGTATGAGGAAGCACAACTCTGCAATGCCTGGTGTATGTTTGTGCTTAGGTGTCCAGGGTTTCAATTGTAATGGATTTAATTGGAGTTTTTCCTTACACAGAAGAGGGGTAGAGTGAAGCCAGTGCAAATGGGCATAAAAATGCATATCCTGTCTATCTGCTTTCAGTCAGAGCTAGTGATTGCTGTGCTGGATACAGACAGGAACAGATTTTCATTGAAATTGGGAAGGAGTGGAATGAGGCTCCTGCCCATTCCCTTCACCCTGACAGCCTGGGAGATGGTTCTGGGCTCTCTCTGAATCATCTCTTCTCTTTGACACTTGTCTCATTCCATTGGAGGTGAAGTCTGACTCTTAGAAGAAAAAGCAAAAGAGAGAATCGTCGCATTTTTTTCCCCTGAGTATTAATTTTCTGTTAAATTCTTCTCTTTTCTTTTTTATGCATTGCACATTTTCTAACCAGATTATTTTTGGCCAGTAACAAAAGGTTAATAATAGTCATAAAAAGAAAAATCAATCTTTGATATGTTTTCCCCACCAAGGTAATAAAGGAGAATTTTTTATAAAGGTCTCTACTTGCACATAGGTGTGTTCCCAGAGAAAGCAGACATATTTTTATTCTCAGCCATATATAAATTGCAATAACATTTCAAGACTTTGTGACCTAATGTTTATTTCTCTCCTTTTTTTTTTTTTCTTTTTTTCTTTTTTTTTTTTTTTCAATTTTGACCTTTACCCTGGAAGAATTCACATCCAAAGCAAAAGCAGGAGAAATTTTTAGAACAACCAGAAGAAAAAGGGAGAGGGAGAAACACTGGCTTCCTAAGAGGCCATAAACACCAGTACCTGCTATAACACATTACCAAAGGCACTATCAGTTAATGTGTAGGCTGTAAAGAACAGTGGGTTCAGTCTGAGGGGATATCTGGTGAATGGGTGATGCTGTTTTTCCAGAGTGATGTGCTCCCAGCAGAGGTTTCCTTCACACCTCTGTCCAAGCAGCCCCCATAATCCCACCAGCCTCTCCAGGTCTTCAGGAATTCTTCTGTCTAGTTCAGTTTTGCAGCAGCACTGTCATTCAGACAGCAGGAGAGAGAAAGAATGAATTCGGGATTATGAGGGAGAGGAATGCTACAGACCAATTTTTTTTTAATTGCCTGTGTTTTAGTACACTTCTAAAAAGTTAGTCAGACAGCATGACAGATTTATGCTCTCTTCCATTACCTTTTTAATAAATGTTCTTCCATTTTGCAGTGTGCTAAAGGATTTAGCTGCTCTAAGCAGGCAGTGACAGTGGTGCTCTGCTGAGTGACCTGGAGCAAGTTTTACTGTTCACTGTGCCTGCAGATGTGCCTTAATACATTTTTGCTGCCTTATTTTAGTTACCTTCATACTGTCTGTTGTCAAAGTACTGTAGTGTCTGGATCAAAAGGGCCTGCAAGACTCAACCTATTGCTCTTTGCTGATAAACAGCTTTGGGAGCAGGAAGAGTGTTCTCCTGGCTATGCCCGTTCTTGTAGCATGCTCAAACCCACTTTAAATCCGGGAATAACCCCATGCCCCTGCACTGCAGTGATCCAGTGCCTGTGCTTTTTTGTTTCAGCAGTGGTGCTGCAGTTTCCGAGGGGTGGTCACTGAAAAGCTGTAGCCACTGAATTCTCTGCTCGTTCATAATTAGCTCTAATAGCACATTTGAAAAGAGGTGCTAAAGCAATTGCCATGGGCTAGGGGATACAGAAAGGCAACAGGCTGCTCTGCTTTGTTGAGAAGGGGCATTTGTGTAATTGAATTACCTAAATCTCCAGTGCCAGGGGCCATGTCAAAGTGGGTGGTGGGATGGTGTTTTGGAGCTCTGCTGGAAATACCCAGAGCTTGGGGCTCAGTCTGAGAACAGCCTCCTTCACTGGAGCTGTTTGCCTAAACCAGCAACATAACAGTTGGTAAGATCATGTTAAGGTAAAAGATTCTAAGCATAAGACAGTGGTAACTCATAAGAGTTATGAAGGGGCTCAGCAACACAATAATATCCATTTCTAGCTTTAAAACATAAGAAGTCAGACATTTTCCTTGCAGAGGATGAGCAACAAAAGAAAACCCCTTTCCTCTATGGGGAGAGCACCTTCTGGATGTGAGATGCTGCTCAAGCAGCTTTCAGAGGAGCTCCTTTAGTGTATCTGGGGGACATAAACCATAGACTGTCCTCCTGGACTTCCTGTGACTGCGTATTGTTTCATTTGTGGGTACTCTGTACTCCAAAATAATAATCCAGGAGACTGTTCATGGCATCACCTTGGGAGTATATGGGGAACTATCTGGGAGTGGTGCTCAGCAGCTCAGCTTACTCTGGTAAACTTTTCAAGCCTGTCTGGCCATGTGATGAAGTCTTAATATAAATATATTGTGAGTTGTAAAGGGAACTGTATCACTTGACACACAGGATAATTAAGGGCTGTGTACATAGCTATGAGTTAGAGTAGCTGAATTTAAACCATATTTAAATATTTTATGATTTAAACTGCATTATTGCGCAATTATCAATGTTATGGTGGTTATGTTCTATGCTGAATTTTTCTGTAATTCTGACTAAAAGGATGAAAAAAGCTGTAACTGATCTTCAGTTTTTATTTCCTGACTTTTTACTTCCCTGGTAAAGTGCAGATCAGTGCACTAAGACTTAAAACCACTGGTCAGCAAGCTCTCAGTAGTCACTCATGGACCCTTCAGGTGTTTGAGGAGGAAACTTGAGACCAAAGCTGAAAATCATCAGGTTAAGAAATCTGTTGCTAGTATATGTGGGGTTCATTTTATTCATTTCTTTATGGTAGTAATTTCAGTGAAAAGCATCTGGTGTCTGTGCTGTCTGCAGAGAGCATTGGTTGATTTTTTGTACCAATGTTGTATTTGTATCTTTGTACCAATTCATGTAAGGCTGCTCAGTCATATTTATGCACTGAGGTGGTGCTTGTCAGCATATTTTGAGTTAGATTGGGGTTTTTTTTACTTTTTTTTTTTTTTAAGGGACTTAGAGTAACATGGTTGCCTCCCCAGGCTGTCTTTCTCCCAGTTCCCAACTTCCCTCCTCTATTTGCATCCTAACAGTGGTGATCAGAGTGTTCCTGGAGACATGGAACATGGAGCAGCCATCCCCTTGTAATACCTTCACTAACTGGGGATAAAAAAAAAGAAAAAGCCTTTTCAAATGAAGACAATACAAACATAATAAATGGCAGGGAGGGTTCATCTCCCTCATGACTCAATCCTTTTCAAACAACATTATTATTGACTGACCTATTGGTTGCCAAAAAGGAAAATCAATTGTACTAGAAGTAGTTGCTGGGCCACAGATCATGCTACTAACCCAGCAGAGACAGGTTGATTTTTATCAACTATCCAAAGACTAATTTCCACCATTAGCTAAAAATTAAGTAAAAATTATGGATATGTCGAAGATTGCTAAGATTGGTGGTCTGCTGGTTTTGTGTGTTTGTGTGAGTTTTCTATTTTCCTGCCTGACTCTTAAAAGGCTTGTGTCTGTAGAGGGTAAAAAGAAGCAAGGAATAGTCAGGCCTGCTTGCATGCCTGCTTTTTTTTTCTTTTCATCCTTCTTCATTTGGATTTCACACCAAGGGTCTTGTGTTGGAGGCATGTAGATAGATATTTTAAAATTAAGCTGGTTTCAGCAAATATGCATCCCTTCCCTGCTTCCTGCACCAAGCATTAGTAATGCCCTCATGATCCTGTGCCTGTAGGGAGATGGAGAAGTTGATGTGGATGTTTTGA